CCCGCCCCCCGCGCGAAGCCTGGGCCCTCTCGCTTCTCTCGGCACGTCTCCGGGCTGACTCTACCTCGAGCCCCGCCCCCGCCTCGAGCCCCGCCCCTTCCTGGAGTCCCGCCTTCCCTCCGGCAGCTCAACATCCGGGGTCTCTGCCTCGAGCCCCGCCCCTTCCCGGAGTCTCGCCTTCCCTTTAACCTTAAGGCTTTGTCGGGGGGTCTCTTGCCTACGTCCCAAGACCCGCCCTGAGCGGGAGCCTGGACATAATTTTACTTTGTGTCCCACTTGGGTGGGTTTGGGAGTTCCGCTGGCCGCTCTGGCTGAGTGCAGGTGGCCCTGCTGAGGCGGCCACGTCCTGCTTGTCCCTTGGGCATCCCTGGTTGGCAGCCTTTCGTGGGGCCTTCTAAGAGCCCACTTAGCACCTAAAGCTTGCTGACCCTAAACTAGTGGTTGTCAGCTGGAGTGATTTGCCTCCAGAGGACACTGGGCGGTGTCTAGGGCATCTGTGGCTCCTGGCATGAAGTGGGTGGGGGCCCGGGACGCCCCACAAAGACCGGCTCCAATGTCAGGCTGAGAAACCCTACTCCAAGTGTAAGTCATTTTGAGAGATATTTCTTTTTTTTTTTTTTTAAGATTTTATTTATTTATTTGACAGAGAGAGACACAGCGAGAGAGGGAACACAAGCAGTGGGAGAGGGAGAAGCAGGCTTCCCGCGGAGCAGGGAGCCCGATGCGGGGCTCGATCCCAGGACCCGGGGATCACGACCTGAGCCCAAGGCAGACACTTAACGACTGAGCCACCCAGGCGCCCCTTGAGAGATATTTCTTGACCCACCTACTACAAGCCGGGCCACGTTGGGGGATGCAGCAGTAAGCAAAACTTCATGGTGCCAGTCCTCCTGAACTTAGAGCCAGGGAGGCAGATCATAACCAAACTATTAATTACAATTACAGTGCTTTTTTTGGTTAATAACACTTGACCAAGACAGAATTCACATACTGTACAATTCACCCATTTAAAGTGTGCAATTCAGTGGTCTTTAGTACGTTGACAGAGTTGCACGACCATCACCATTGTGTGATTCCAGAGCATTTTCATCACCCCGAGTAGAAACTGTCTCCATTAGCCGTCATTTCTCAATCTCCCAGCCCCTGGCAACCACTGGTTTGCTTTTTGTCTCTATGGGTTTACCTGTTCTGCACATTTCATATAAATGAGCCACTACTTAGCAATAAAAAGGAATAAACTCTTGAAACACACAACAACTTGGATGAAGCTCTAGAGAATTATGCTGAACAGGGAAAAGCCAATGCAACAAGGTTACATGCTTTACATACTCTTATGATTCCATTTACATAAAATTCTTGAAACGTCAAAATTACAGAAATGGAGAACATATTAGTGATTTCTAGGGGTTAAGGACATGGGGAGGAGGGTATGGGGAGTAGAAGCACTGTACAGGGACAACGTGAGGTATCCTATGGTGAGGACATCTTCTAGCTCTCGACTGTATGGAAAGCAATGGTGAGATTGTACTATAATCGTGTAAGATTTTACCATTGGGTAAATGGGGGAACAGGGTACACAGGATCTCTGTTATTTCTTACTGCATGTGAATCTACAATTACTTCAAATTTTTAACACTTAATTAAAAAAAACACACACACAACAGTATGGGGCACCTGGGTGGCTCAGTCGTTAAAGCCTGCTTCTCCCTCTCCCACTCCCCCTGTTTGTGTTCCCTCTCTCGCTGTGTCCCTCTCTGTCAAATAAATAAATAAAATAAGAAAAACAGTACATGTACCGACTGTGGAGGGTGGTGTTCCTTTCCTCCTTGATATGAAGCAGGCACAGGGCTAGTTAATTCTTGGACAGAAACCATGCCAAGCCCAGGGTGCCAAGGAAAGCCGTATGGGTGATTTAGTGGATGGCATTCTTCCACTTGAGTCTTCATGACCATGTGTGGCCACCAGGAACAATCGAGTGGGTCTGGCAAATGCAGCTCTCCCACCATGCCCTGGCTAAAGTTCAGAGTAGTAATTACACAGGGCCTCCCTCCAATTCCCTGCAGCTCTGACGAGGTAAAGAAGGCTATATGCTTTATACAAAAGCAGGTCTGTCTTAATGTTTTCTCTGGATTACATAATATCCCACCCCCCCCCCCACCCCACCCCACCCCTGTTATTTACTACAAGCATTGTGCTAAATGCTTTGCATGCACGATCTTATCTGGTCCTTACAATAGCTCTTAGAAGTAGATACAGTTGATTCTCATTATTGGCAGCTGCTCTGTTCTATAAAGTTGCAGCAAACTGTGCAAGAGTGAATGCTGAAGCATGGCCCCTGGAGGAAACCCTGGGGTAGGTTCCTGCGAGCCTCTGGTCACAATATTTTCATCAACTCATCAATACATAATCTTGTGCTCTGTATGCTTCTGTCTAAAGACACCTTATTTAATACACATTGTAGATTCGTTAACAGCCAACAGCACTATAATTCATGCCTGAATTAAGCTTCTCTAACACATATATTTTCTCTGTAAGCTGCAGCCCAGGCTTTTGTGCTCAGAAACACCAGCCAGTACTGTGCACGGGGGCCACTGTAAATAGCAAAACCACCAACATAAAGTGCAAAAATGCAAAAATCATGGTACGAAATAGATCCCGAAAGGGGCCATTTACAACCTGGGCTGGAATAAGGAGGCAAAATGGTGCCTTGTTCAAACCCAGCTGGGAACATGTATGGCCAGCACTCAAAGTTTTCACCCCTCTGCGTTGTCTGCAAATGACCCTGAAAGCACCGTGAGTATGGATTTGGGGGTTACGAATGTTACAGATGAATTTCAGCCAGTAGGCAAATTTACAAATAGAGAAGTAACTAATAATGAGACTCGAATGTCCTTGTATTAATCCCCTTTGCAAATCATGAAAAGGATAATCAAGGAGCTTTAGCAATTTCATTGCCTCAACCCAATTCTATGAGAACTGATTATGATTCAGGTGTTCCTCTAGGGCAGGGTTTCTCAACCCATGCTGTTGATATTTGGGGCCAGAGAATTCTCGGTTCTGGGGGGCCCGTCATGTGCATTGTAAGGTGTGGAGCAGCATCTCTGGTCTGTACCCACTCAATGCCAACATCATCTCCATCCCCCAAGTCATGATAACCAAAAATGTTGCCAGACACCACCAAATGTCCCATGAGGGGCAGAATCTCCGCCACACCGTGAGAACCACTGGTCTAGGGACTGGAGACACAACAACCACAAAGCGCAACATCTCTGATCTCAAGCAACTTACGTATGGGAGAATGGCAAACGGGGATGTGGGGCAGGGAGGGGAGTTAGTGTTTCTTGGCGACTGAGTTTCAGTTTGGGAAGGTGAAAAAGTTCTGGAGACGGATGGTGGGAATGGCTGCACATTGTGAACGTAATTGATGCCATTGAATTTGACGCTTAAAAATGATCAGAAAGGCAAGTTTTATGTTATGTATGTATATTTTAACCACAATTAAACCAGACAAGAGCCAAGCTTGGCTTTTGCAGCTGCTCCTTGGCAGTGGCCACAGCACCATGGACAGCTCCCTGTGCGCTCTCATAGGGGAGGGACTGCTGCTTTGTAAATGCCCCTCTATCCCGAATGTCTTTCTCCCGCTTCTTCATCCATCCCACTCCTACCCACTCCTCAGGGCCCAGCTCACATCGTCACTGCCCACCCTCCCCGCCGGGAAGTCTTCCCATGCACCCTCCCCCAAGCCACTCTGCTCCAAAGATGTCTCTAAATCAGCCCAGACTCCTTTGCCCATCTGTTTCTCCAAATGGGAGTTCTGCAAAAGCAAAGTCTTTCTTATTCACACACTGGACCCCCACACCCAGCCACAAAGACTGGCCTGGATTTCCCATTCAATTAGCACGAGTGTGTCTTCCCAGAGCTTCACTTCCTCCAGCCAGGAGGCTCTGGGCTCTCCTCTCCTGCTGTGGGGCAACGCCTTTCTGCCTTGGGCTCGGAGGGCCCAGACCCTGATGCAGTGAGTGAAGCAGCAACGGGAGCACAGTGTTGGCTGATCTCCGTGAGGGGAGCCAGCATTCACACATTCCACCTGCATCTCCTGGAGGCCTCCATGCTGGGTACTGCGGCCCTCTGCAGAGAACATGGCCGTGTACGAGGCCAACCAAGTCAGGGGCTCCTGGGTGGCTCAGTCGGCGAAGCATCTGCCTTCGGATCAGGTCATGATCCCGGGGTACTGGGATCAAGCCCCCATCGGACTCCCTGCTCACCGGGGAGGCTGCTTCTCCCTCTCTCTGCCCTTCCCCCCACTCATGCTCTCTCTCTCTCAAATAAATAAATAAAATCTTAAAAAAAAAAAGACCAACCAAGTCTCTTTTATCTTGAATTTTATAGTCTAGCGAGGGGGTCAGAGAATAAACGAAGAAACAAGTAAATAATTTCAAATAGTGGTAAGTGCCGTGACGGGGGGGGGGGGAATCAGGCTCCTCAGTAGGTGAAACACAAACCTATTGTACGTCCTGGTAATTCCGTTCCCAGGCGTGTACCCAGGGGAACTGAAAACAGGGACCCAGATAAGTCTGGTCACAGCCATGTTCACAGCAGCGCTATCCACGATAGCCAAACGGTGGCAACGGCCCCGATGTCCATCCACTGGTGAACGGGTAAACAAAAATGTGGCTAATGCATACAGTGGAATATACTGTTCAGCCATCAAAAGGAACAGAGCACTGAAGCTGCAGTGTGGATGATCCTTGAAAAATTATGCTCGACCAAAGAGGCCAGACAAAAAAATGATATAGTGTATGACTCCATTTATATGAAATGTCCAGAACAGGCAAATTCACAGAGATAGGAAGCAGATTAGAGGTTGTCAGGGTTTGGGGCTGGGGGATGGGGAGTTAGTTTTTTTTTTTTAAGATTTTATTTATTTATTTAAGAGAGAGAGAATGAGAGACAGAGAGCATGAGAGGGAGGAGGGTCAGAGGGAGAAGCAGACTCCCTGCCGAGCAGGGAGCCCGATGCGGGACTCGATCCAGGGACTCCGGGATCATGACCTGAGCCGAAGGCAGTCGCTTAACCAACTGAGCCACCCAGGCGCCCAGGGAGTTAGTTTAATAGGGACAGAGTTTCAGTTTGGGAAGATGAAAAAGTTCTGGAAATAGATAGTGGGGATGGTTGCGTGGCCATGGGAGTGTGCTTAATGTCACCGAACTGTACACTTTCCAATGGTTAAAATGGTAAATTTTATGTTTTGAGTATTTTACCACAATTTTAAAATGTATATACTGAAAAAAAAAATCGGACTGGGCAATGGAATGGGGTGATGGAGTGTGGGGGCAAGGGAGGGATGGTTGGGGAAGGCCTCTCTGAGGAGAGTACTTCTGAGCTGACACCTGAATAATGTAAACATCTGCTGGAAGAGCGTTCCTGGCAGTGGGAACAGTATGTTCAAAGGCCCTGTGGTGGGGATGAACGTGATGTGTTCCCAGAACAGGTGAAAAACCACCGCATTGACAAAGCAATAGGCATCAGTTCCTACTTGGGGCCATTCGTTCATTTCCTGGGGCTGCTGTAACAAAGTACCACAAAACCAGATGGCTCAAAACAAGAGAAATCTATTATCTCCCAGTTCTGGAAGCCAGAAGTCAAAACTCAAGGTACTGACAGGGTTGGTTGCTTCTGGAGGCTGTGAGGGAGAATCCATTCTATGCCTGTCCAGCTTCTGGTGGTTGCTGGTGATCCTCGGCATTCCTTGATTTGCAGATGTAAAAACACTTGTCGTTGGATTTGAGATTCACCGTAAATCCAGGGGATCTCACCTAGAGATGAGAGTACCGGATTCCTAACTCCATCTGCAAAGACCCTTTTTCCAAACAAGGTCATATTCACAAGTTCGAGAGGTTAGGACATGGCTATGTCCTAAAAATAGACACAGCAACATCAAGAAACAGGTATAGAAGCTTTCTCGGGCACCGTGCTACGTCCTCTCCTACATGATCTCATTAAACGCCCAAACGCCAGTACCATAATGTTTCCATTTCACAGGTGGGGAAACTGAGGCCCAGCAGGTAAGATCACTTACCCCGTGGTGTGTCCCAGCTAGTTAGCCTCCCAGCCAGGGTTCGAACCTCCTTCTGATCTGATTCCAGAGGCTGCACTCTTTATGGGGTCCTGAAGTCCTCCAGGGCAGGGCCGCCGCGGCGCACAACTGCAGGGGGCGCCTTTCCCTCCGTTGCCCCCCCCCCCCCGAGCAAGTGTGTCTCGTTAGACTGTGCCTCCCCAGCACGCAGCCGGGTCCTTGGCACACACGACTCGGTCCACAGTGAGCGGCCAGCTGAGGGACCCAAGGAATGGGGTCCTAAGGATATTTCCCCTCCCTCCCTTCTTAGATTATACTAATCTAAGGAATGAGGCCATCGCCTCATTTATTTGTTTGTTTGTTTGTTCCTTGTTTTGTTTTTAAATCTGTGGTGCGCCATCAGGAAATCATTTCCGCTTCTGCCCCTGGTGAGGCTCTTGGAAATACTCCCCTTTCAGCCAATGGAGAGCACCGGATTCTGGCAGGGGGCTGTGCTTTATGGTCAGCCCTGCCCCCACCCACCCACCCTGCACACAAAAGCAGCATAATTAACTGTCTGAAGGCAGCCGAGCCTCCGCCGGCACCGAGCCGGCGAGAAGACAGCTCGGAGGCACGGGCTGCGACCGTGCCAGGGGCCGGGAGCGCAGCCGGCCGAGGGGCAGCCGACCGCTAACTGCGGCGGTCCCCCAGCTCTGGACAAAAGCGCCCATCCGCGCCGCCACGTTGCTCTGGGTGACCTTCGCTGGGTGCAGAGTCCGCCCCTGCGCGCGTCCTCCTCCGATGCTCTGAAGGCCCAGGGGCCGCGCTCCGAAGCCGAGGGATGTCCGGCTGCATCCGCGCGGGGCTCGCCTTTGTTTGCGCGTAACGGGCAGAGGCCGCCGAGGTGAGTCCACCCGCCTTTCTCGCAGCCCTGCCCCGCAAGATCTGTCCGGAGACATCCGCTGCCGCAAAGCCCCGTCCGGCAGGTGGGGCGGGTGGGAGCAGGGAACCACGGTCTTGTGATTCCCGGGATGACAACACAGCCATGTCTCCCGATGCCGAGGAAAACCTTCCGCAGGCATGCACGCCCACAGTTCACCTTCCGTGCCCACCGTTCACCTGGAAGGCAGAGGATTGCACCATTTTCAGGACATGCTTAGAGATTAGGCTGATAAAACCCTCAGCCTCTCTCTGGGACGCTTCCTAAGAGACCGAAATGTACACGTCCCATCTCTGTGCATTTCCTATTTATAACGCCGTGAACGGATTTGGGGGGGAAAAAAAAAAAGACTTGATAGATGTGTACATAGAGGCTTGCCTATGGGGTGGGGAGGAAGGGAGAAGGTTGAAGACTGAGTCCTTCTCTGAATTTGAACGTGATACGCCGGTAACTCAGCCGACCCAGCGCCAAAGCTCACTGCCTCATTCTCCATCCTCAAACGTGAAGCCGGGATCTTAGAACAGGCGTGTACAGGGCCCACGGGGGACCCACCCACACCCCACATTTAGAGGATTGTGGGGCCAGCATGTGTGGCTCCAGAGTCTCAGCTGTGGGTGGGATTGGGGGGCATGCTTCCTGGGGGCTGAGGTCACACCCAGCTCGGGGTAAGGAAAACAGACGCAGAGACCTCTTCCCGCCCCCCCCCCCTGCGAAAGGAAATTCATTTCCATTGACCCGAACTTTGCCTTGCAGTAAGGTTTTGGGTGGTGGTTGTTGCATCAGGAAGAGGTTTTTTTGTTGGTTTTTTTTTTTTTTTTTTTTGGCGTACTGCGTCTTACTGTCCCTCCTCCATGAATGAATGACGACATTCAGAACAGTGACAAGGATCCAGTGGGAAACTCTCACCCAAGTGGGGGGGGGGGGGAGGGTGTCTAATTTTAGCTACCCCTCCCCCACTGCCTGGCCTTCACCTGGCCCAGGCTCCCTCTGGCTCCTCCCTCTCCGAGCCACAACCTCAAATGCAGACCCCGCCCACAGGGGCTGCTGTCCACACCCAAACCCTTAGCCTTGCAGGCTGTGCAGAGGGGCAGCATCGGCATCTGGAAGCGGGGAGGACGGGAGGGGGCGGAGAGAGGGAGGCTTAGGTGCTGGCATGTGAGAATAACCCAGGAGCTACTTGGAGGGTGGGCTGCCAAGGACACAGCGAGCCCTCTGTAATGACTGTCAAACCCTGCCCAAGTTCCCTTCACAAGTGTGCAGTTAAGACAGGACTTCTCAATCTCAGATCTATGGACATTTGAGGCTGATCATTTTTGGTCCTGGGGGGCCATCTTGAGCACGCTGCGGTGTTGAGCAGCATCCCTAACCTCCTTCCACTCGACGCCAGTAGCACCCTCCCCAAATTGTGACGACCAAAAATGCCTCTAAACATTGCCAAGTGTCTCCTGGGGGGAGAGGGGAAGGCAAAATTATCCCCAGTTGAAAGCCACTGATTTAAAAGCATAGAACCCATGGTTTTTTGTTTTAAAGATTTTATTTATTTATTTGACAGAGAGAGACACAGCGAGAGAGGGAACACAAGCAGGGGGATTGGGGGAGGGAGAAGCAGGCTTCCCGCCGAGCAGGGAGCCCGATGTGGGGCTCGATCCCAGGACCCCGGGATCATGACCTGAGCCGAAAGCAGACGCTTAATGACTGAGCCACCCAGGCGCCCCAGAACCCATGGTGTTGACTAAGTTATAAGATCCTGGAATGTTATGTCCAAAGATACTATATAAAGATCATTTCTAGTCCAACTTTTTAGTTTGCAGATGGAGATACTGAAGCTGGGAGGGGTGAGTGGGGGAGTCTTCCGTGCCTCAGGGTAGACCCCAGTTCAGTCTCATTCCACAGTTCCTGCTGCTCCCAGACAGCCCAGCTCTTAAGCCACCATTTCGGGTGCTGCCCGCCACCCCATCCTGCCCTCAGCTCCTCAGAAAAATAAAAAACAAAACTTGTGTTTTGTGCTTAGTGAGAATTATGACCCCAGCTTCCAGCCCCAGTCTCTTTCCACACTGCCTCCATTAGCCCTGGGGTAAGCAGGTTGTCAGGACTTGCTTCTTTGTTGGGGGATAAAGGGGCAGGGCAGGTAGCCTGGGGAAAGTAGAGGGGGGTTGAGGTCGACCAGGTCCTATTTGAAAGTGTCAGTCCCAGGCGGGTGGCTTACTCGGTTAAGTGTCTGCCTTCTGCTCAGGTCATGATCCCGGAGTGCTGGGTTCGAGTCCTGCATTGGGCTCCCTGTCAGCTGGGAGTCTGCTTCTCCCTCTGCCCCTCACCCCACTTGTGCTCTCTCTCTCTCTCTCAAATAAATAAATAAAATTTAAAAAAATCTTTAAAAAGAAAAAAAAAGTGTCAGTCCCAGCAAGGAAGTTTAAGTATATCGGTCACTAACACTTTAGTATAAATGATTTTAAGTGGCTTTATTGCTTCCCAGATAACTCCAAAGTAAGGGAGCGATGATGATCCCTAAGGAGAACGGACTTCAGAACTTCAAAGCGAGGGGGGTTGATACCTGCTGACTCAGCCCCTCACCTGGGTTCAAATTCCAGACCCATGTGGATGTCATCAGCTCTCTACACCTCTGTTTTCTCACCTGTGACATGGGGAAACCTCATGGGGCTGGTCAATGGTTCAGTTTAATGAAGGATGAAACAGTCTTTGCATATTGATCTGAAGGGCCACACGTGGGCGGGGGGCTGTTATTACGATAACTGTCCAATAAAACCTTCATGTGGCCCGCCTTCAGGATTCATCTCTGCTTCAAGCCAGCACCTCTCCTTGGTTCTCATGGGGACCACTGAAGCCACACTCCGGATGGAAAACGTGGATGTGAAGGAAGAATGGCAGGACGAAGCTCTTCCCAGGTATGGCTTCTCTGTTTCCACATCACCTATCGCGTTGGGGGGAAGGGTGCCCACTGCTTCTCTGAGCTGTGGTGTGGGGGACGCCGAGGATGGATGGGACCAGGCACATAATAAATATTTGCTGACTTTTTTAAGATTGATTCCCCACCCCCACCCCCACCAAAGCCCCGCAAAAACTCCATTCCCACGCTGTTTTAAGGGTTATGAACATTCTTCTACAACCATCTCATGGACTGTTATATTCTTACATGTGTTCCCACGAATCCAGGTGATAGCACATTTTTCCCCGTGGCAGCCAGAGGGATCTTGTCTTACTCCTGCCTAAAGCTCCTGGGGCAGATGCCCACCCCAAGGAAAATCCGGTGTTCAGCCTCCCCTCCTTCTTCAACCTCTCTCCCACCACATCCCCTTCATGTCCGTCCAGTTCTAGAAGCTTCCTTCCCATTCCTTCTCCAGGCCCGGCCGGCACTGACTGTCAGACTTCGCACTGGCTGTTCCCTCTGCCTGGAATGCCTTTCCCAGACACCCAAGCTTCCCTCGCTTCCTTCAGGTCTCTGCCCGCAAGCCTCCCTCTCAGAGAGGGCCTCTTGGCCCCATTCATTACCCCTTCCCTCAGTCCCTGAATTGTTTCCTTCCTGAACAACGGCCCCCAAAGACGTCTAATCCCCGTCCCCTGCCAGTGTCCCCCTCCATGGCAAAGCCACTCTGCAAATGTGATGAAGCTAAGGACCTCAAAATGGGGAGATGACCCTGAGTTATCCAGGTGGGGCCCCCATGTCATCGAAAGGGTCCTTCCCGAAGTTCGAAGGGAGGATCTGTTTCCATCCCTTTCTCAGATTCTCCCTTCGAGCTTCCAGGAGGAGCTGGCCCTGCCCACACCTTGCCTTCAGCCCCGTGAAACAGATTTCGGACTCACTTCTGGCCTCTAGGATTGTAAGAGAATAAATGTGTGCTGTTTTAAGCCACTGTGTGGTGATTTGTTACAGTAGCCAGGGGAGACTCTGCTATGAGTCTAATACTCTGAATATTTCACATATTTATCTTGTATATAGTCTGTTTTCCCCACCAAATGGAACCCCCCCACCACCACAGCAGGGGCCTTTGGTTGGATCACTGTTGTATGGCAGCATGAGGACAGACCCCAGCATACAGTTGGCGCTCAATAGCTCTTGGGTGAGTAGGTCACGGTCACTGGTAGGAGTAACAAACTGTGTAGGAGGGAAGCAGAGACACGTGCGCCACCAGGCCTCGTGTCCCTCTGTTTGCTCCTCTGGGCCGCGTGGGGTCACGTGATCAGCACAGGCTCCCCTAATCCAATGGCTGGACAAACTGACCACCTCCGCCCTTCTTTAATGCAAGCAATTTACCCCAGGGGATGATGCCCAAGAGCTCCTTATATAACCGTCTGGGAAGGACTAGCCGAAGGGAAGTGTGTGCTCACCCTGGAAAAGAGAATCGGAAGAGGGTCTCCAGCTCCAGAAAATCCCAGCCACTGAGGGGCCGAAGGCTTCCTCATGCCTCAGTTTCCCTATCTGTGAAGTGGGGACGTTAATCCCTCGCTCACAGAGTTGTTGGAGGAACCGGCTGAGGCCCGCGGGATGAAGCGGCTGGGGTGGGCTCGCCACATGACGCAGGCTGCCCAAACGCACGGTCCCCCTCGGATTGCTCTTAGCTGCGTCTTCTTCACTCTGGCTCCCTGCGCCCCCATCCATCGTTTAAAAGATAGCCCCTCTCCCAAGCCTTGTTGAGACAAAATGGGGCAGCTGCAGGTGCGAATTTTAAGTGAGTTTCTCCCAGCTGCAGAGGGTCCCTCTCCGTGCTCAGTGGGCCAGTGTCTGCGGCACAGTGGCCCCGCTGTGCAGCCCCGGGGCAAGAGCCAGCCCTTTGCCGGGGCGTCTGCCTTCCTCGCTCTGCGAGAAGGGAGGGCAGCTCCGCACCTCTGTCTAGTGCCAGACAACCCACAGTTCTGTTCCTTCCAGCTCAGCGATCCCTTCCCGGAGGCATCTTCCAGCTCCCCCGGGTGCCAGAGGGCTGGCCCTGTGCCCACAGCCCCTCCTGCCCCCACGACCTTAAACCATCTTCCTTCACCTCTGCCCCAGAGGGCAGCCTGGAGATGATATAGCTCGCTGCCTTATTTCTCCATTCATTCTCTGTAAGGCTATGCACCCACTGTATGCCCGGCCCCATGCAAGACACTGGGGACACACGGCAACCAGGACAGACACCCTCACGGGGCATTCATTCTGGGGCAGAGAGAGCCTTTCCCCTTATAAACTTCACAACCCAATATAAAACTGAAGCTGGGTTCGTGGTAACTGGGAGAGTGCCTGGGTGGGGTCTGACCAGGGTGGAGAGACGAGAGGTTGGGAAGGGCGCTGGTTCTAAGCTGTGAAGGATGAAGAAGGCTAGGGGTAGGGGCTGAGCATTCAAAGCTCAGAGAGCAGTGTGTGCAAAGGCCCTGAGGCCAGTGGGAGCAGACCGAGGGATGTAAGGAAAGCTGAGGGGGCATCTTGACCAGTGTCTCAGAGCTGAGGAGAGGCAAGTACAGGGTTAGACAGATGTCTGACTGGTGCCTCAGCCTGCCCTTCCCTTCACAAGCAAGTGGCCCTGGGTTTTGTTTGTAACTTTTTATTCCGATGTAGTTCCAAACTTAGAAAAAAATTACAAGAATGGTGTAAGGCACATCTGTAAACTTTTCCCCAGATTTGCCAATTAACATTTCACTCCCTTTGCTTTGTCATTCCCTCCCCTGTCTCTCCCTCCCTCCTGTGTCTCTCCCCTCTCTGTGTCTCTCTCTGTCTCTGCCTTCCTCCTCTGTCTCTCTCTGCCCCTCCCCATATATAGAGAGAGACTCAGTTCCCAGTTTGTATCTCCATCCCTGCACGGGGCATGCCAGTGCGGTGTCTCGCCCACAGCACACGCACATGAGCTGATTGTGCGGCACGCACCTCAACAATCCCCAAAAATGTGTGTGGCCGCTGTGGGTTCAGGGCACAGAGTGGTGGAGGGCTCTGAGCAGCCTGAGCATCGCTGCCCTGCCTCAGCCCTGCCCTTCTCCGTCTTGTGCTCTAGCCGTGCTGGCTCCTCTCTTCTGGTCTCCTCCTCCTCTGTCCCAGTCTGCTTGGGCTGCCAAGACGGGATTCCACCGACACTTACGCTCTCACCATCCTAGAGGCTGGCAGTCAGGTCAGGGGCCCGGCAGCGCTGGGCTCGGTGAGGGCTCTCTCCTGGGCTTGTAGACGGCTACCCTCTGATCGCGGCCTTTTCTCCGTGCTTGTGTGCAGAGAGATCACTCCTGTCTCTCTTTCTTATAAAGCACAGCCCTATGGGATCAAGACCCTCTTATGACCTCATTTAACCTTTATTGCTTCTTAAAGGCCCATCTCCAAATGCAATCATATTGGAGGTTGGTCCTTCAATATATGAATGGGCGGGGGACGCGATTCAGTCTGTAACATCCTCTTTGCAAAGAGCTGACTGTTGGGAGTGGAGTTGGGGTGGGGGGCGGAGCTGTGGTGCCACCCGAGGCCTTGGGACCCTCCCCGAGGCTGTGGTGCTGGGGGAACTGGGGGGGGGGATGAAGGGACAGAGGTGTAGGACATTGCAGAGAAGGCCCAACAAGGGCATCTAAAAACCACCAAAGTGGCCAAGAAAGAACCTTTTAGGCCTCTCTGGCTCTCTTGGTTGGGCTTCGGGGGTGTCATATTGCAAAGCCCCAGCATTGTTGGCCCAGGCTCGAGCCTCGGAAAAGCCTCCCTCTACCCAGAAAGAGATTGTGCGGTTGCGTGCACCAGAAGCGGCCTTGGGCAGGCAGAGACAGAGACTGGCCAGCCCTGGAGGGGAGACTGAGGCAGCAGTGTCCAAGTTTGATACCCTCGAAGTCCTGGAGCACAAGCTTGGGGTGGGGGGCATGGTCAAAGTTCATTCCCAATCCCCTTGTCTCACACCACGGGAAACCGAAGCCAGAGGCTGGAACGTGAGGGTAGACTTGGAGCCAGCAGCCCCCTGTGAGGCCAGCTCTGTTGCAGCTGCAGAGCCCCTCCAGATCGACAGGTGCTCCCGCTGGTGCTCCCCACCACTCACGGGATGCACCTTCGCTCAGTCTGTCCTTCCACCAGCCACTTCTCTGAGGGCCAGGCCCATGACTCACCAAAGCAAGATAGGAAGAGGCACGTCCTAGCAGGAAGCAAGCAGTTAGACAGAGAAAGCAGGAAGCAGCACTCAAGACAGAGGGGTGAGATGTGCAAAGGCACTGGGGCAAAGGGGGCCTTGGCATGGTAGGGAACGCAGCCCGCAGAAATGGGGCTGAAGGGCTCCTAGATGCAACGTCCTGGAGGGGTGCCCAGGTGAGAGATCTGGATTCCACACTGCACACTGCATGAGACAACACAGATGTATTCTTGCACAATTCTGGAGGCTAGAAGTCCAAAATCAAGGCGTCAGCAGGGCCCTGCTCCCTCTAAAGGGGACACTCCTTTCCGCCTCTCCCAGCTTCTGGGGCGGCCCGCAGTCCCGGGTATTCCCTGGCTTGCGGACACATCCCTGCAGTCTCTGCCTCATCCTCACATGGCCCCATCCCTGTGTCTGCATCCACATTCCCCTGTTCTCATCCGCACGCCGCTCACTGGATTTAGGGCCCCGTTAATCCAGGATGGCCTCTTCGTACCTTAATTACGTCTGCAGTGGCCTTATTTCCAATAGGTCATGGTCCAAGTACTGGGAGCTAGGACTTGAGTTATCTTTTGGGGGCACAGACTTCAACCCAGCACGGAAAGATGAAGCCACGCGGGGCGCCTCGCATATGAAGGAAAGCCCACTTCTCACGGGGCTGGGGCTTGCCCGTTGCAGGCTGAGCAAGCCTGCGGGGAGCCCTCCGGATCTACTCTGAGTTTATGGACAGGCTTCAGCTCAGCACAGTATGAGCTCTTCTTGGGACTTAGGGAAATAGCAGTTTTCAGCTGGCAGAGTGGGATTTGCTCGGCTGATGTCCCAGGACCCGG